CATCTGGGGCCGAGGAGGCTGGTTGCTCCGGTCAGGAGTTGCACCCGCTGGAGCGCCGTTTCTAAACTTGAAAAATTAATTGACCAACTTAAAAATACATATCAAATTAGGGCTGGCTGGCGCATCTCTGTTCCAGGTACTCGGAGGAAGGCGGAGGATCGCTTGAGCCCAGGAGATTGAGGTTGCTGTGAGCTAGGTGACCACGGCACTACTTCTAGGCCTGGGAACAAAGCGAGACTGTCTCAAAAAAAAACAAAAAAAAAACATGGATATCAGAGTTGAAGGGATTGAGCCTGTGCTAGTTGTTTATTCCTATGTCCCCCGGAGGAGTGCGTTACATAAAACGGGACGGGCTATGATAAGAAAACAACTGCTTCCTCAGGAAAGCGGAGTGGGACGTTTCTCCTGGTATGAGATGCGGTAGTTTCTCCTGGAGTGGCTTGGAAGTAGCTGGCTCTCGTGCGTCATAAACTCAGAGTCTGTACTGGTGCCTCGGATGCCTGGGTTTAGGGGAAGTTAGTGGGTGTGGCAGCTGGAACAGGACAGGGACGATTTCACGGTGCCTGGCTGATTGAGATGATCTTATTTTGTATAGGACCCCACGCAGCTCACAGTTTCAAAGAAGAACAGTAATTTCTAGAACTGGAGGTCTATGTTACGGAAACAGGAGGCTTATGCAGGGAAACACAGCAGAAACACAGGTACTTTGATAAAATGCATATTCTGAAGCGATGAATCGTAGTTTTGGCAATCCATGAGAAAGATGGCACATATGATAAATAGATTCAACATCCTTAATGTTATTACATTAAAATAGGACGTAGCTCCTGTTCTCGAGTTCTAAGCTCTAAAAATAAAAGATGATACTGTGACCATGCCAGGCACAACTTAGAGGTATATAAATGTGAAATAAACAATAAAACATTTAGACTATCACAGAAAATAACCATTACTCTTTCTTCATTAAACTAAGAAGAGTAAGATACCAGAAGACAGAATGAATGATAATTTCTCCCATTATTCTGCAGATATTTCCTTGTGATCGTATTAGTCCACTTCTTTGTGTTCCCAAATGCTAATTAATCGGCACGCTGTGTGGGTTTTCAGTTCGTATTCTTACGAATAGGCCTGGGTAGTGACTGCTTGCGTTTACTATCTCGTGGAGCGTCCTCCGATAATTTGGGAGACTCTACGGAGGCCCTGACGAGGCCTTACTTTTGTATGTTTGCAGTTTTCCATAATACAAAGGAAAACAACCAGAGATGAGGCATTTCTGATCCTAGGGTGACTTTCAGAGCTGTGAGATGCCCTGAGAGCCATGTGGTCACTCACGGGGCAGGGGTGCGCGTCCATCTCCCTGGACTCTGCCCCCAGGGCAGTCCCCAGCAGGGTTTCCAGCATGCTCACTGAGCTTCCTTCTCTCACCCGGGCTGGGGTGGTCCAGTTCACAGTCAGTTAGCGACTTGCATGATGTTTCACTCAGTCATTCCTGGCCCTGTGTCTTCTGAGACCCCACAGTTGAGAAGACAGATAAGCACAGGGAAACAGTGAAACCTGTGCCCAGGTGAGTGTTTAGAGAAAGGGAGGGAGCAAGCTGGGGGTGCCGTGGTCGTGGTCGAGGAGAGGAACCTCCAGAAGGGGGACGCCGAGGGCGGGGGAGGGCAGGGCGTTGCAGCCAGCGGAGCTTCTTCCTCTGGAGGAGTAGGGTGTGTCGGGCGCTCTTAGGAGCAGGGTGTTTGGAGTCAGATCAGTGTTTTAGCCTCCTCGCCAGCAAAATGGGATCATAAAAATTGGAAGGCGTTTAAAGCCTTTTAAGTCGCCTGCCAGCCAGCTCTTAGTGTTTTTCGGAGGGTCGGCGTGGTGTAGCCGTTCAGACAGGAGCTTTGTACAGCCGGACGGGCTGGCTGCAGCCACTGGCTCCCCGCTCTAGCTCTGCGGCCCTGGGCACGCTCCTTAACCGTGGAGTTTGCGTTCCCGTGTATGAATAGGACACGTGCCACACGAGGGGTTTGTTAGGGTTAGCTGTGCTAAGTGCTTCCTAGGGCTCCTGGGCACCAGCGCGGCGCCCGCGAGTGGATCTTGTTTTCCCCAAGAGCGTGATGTGTGCCGGGAAGAGCTGGAGTCTGGGTCTCACCCTGATGCTGCTCTCTGTTGCTCGTTAGTCCGTGGCCATTTTGTCTTCAGGGCTGCTTGCTTAGAAGTAGGGCTGTGGGCTAGAAACGGTTTTAAAGCTTTGATTGGTCTGTGAAGAGCGCCTCCTCACCACACCGTGTCCTGCCCTCCCGGCCCTGAAGGAGGTGGGCGGGCGCTCCCGTCCTGGTGCCTGACGTGGAGCTGCTCCCTAGGCATGCTGTCCCTTCACGCTGAGGGGGTAAAGGGGCCACGCGTCCCTCAGAGAAGGCTGTGCAGACGTGCTTCCGGTGGTCAGTGTCCTGGGGCTGCCGCGACAAGGGCCACAGACCGGGTGTTTTAAAACCACAGAAATTTATTCCCACCAAGTTCTTGCGGGTCCTTCCCTGCCCCCTCTAGACAGTGGTGGCCACAGTCCTTGGCGTTGGTCCTAAGGCACCCCTTCCTCATCACTGGCACCTCTCCTCCTCCAGTGTGGCCTTATCTCAACCAGCTGCGTCTGCAGTGGCCCTCTTCCCAAACACGCCTCACACGCTGAGGACTGGAACCCACAGCCCTTGCCTGCTAGCACAGCACAAATACAACCCTCCCGGTAGCAGTGCTCCTCCACTCCAGGTGTCCCACTCCGCACTGGTGTCAGGTGGCTCCATGTCACCCAGGGCTCCTGGGAAGACCGCTTAGAGGGGGTGCCGGGTGACAGAGTGTGCTGCCGACAGCTCCGAGGGGCCACCAGCTGGGTCTCTCCCTTCAGGCTCGGGTGGGGAACCGGGGCCTTGGGGCCACGTGTGGCCTTCTGGACCCTTGAGTGCGGCCTTCTGACTGAGTCCACATGTTACGGGAGAGAGCCTTTTAATGGAGGGATTGGTCTCGGGCCGGTGGGCACGGCTACTCTGTCTCAGGGCGGCCGCTCCCCCTCCCTGCACGGTGGCTGCCGGGTGCCTTATCTGCACGCAGGGGGCCCTGGGCCAGAGAGGGCGACAGAGTCAGCGTGGTTATTTTAGGCCCAGTTGGTTTTGCCTCAGTGAGTGTCCTGGATGGTAGACAGGAAGGATTTGTTGCGCATTCTTAGCACATTTGTTTAGTTTTCAGATTTTTCTTAGCTAAGGTTGAGTGGAATTTTGTTTCAGAGTGTTGGTGGGTTGTAGATGAGTAAAGCTGTGCTGAGGCTTGGGGAAGGATCGTGAAGGTCCTGAGGGTCACTGCCACCTGGCTCTGTGAGTTGGAGTTGATCTGGCCCTGGGGAGAAGCTTTAGGAGAGCGCCTCCCGGCAGCTCAGGTCTCACTGCTGACCGGAGGCTGCTCTCAAGGCTTTGGTGAGCGAACGCCTTGTAATTAGGGTGTCCATTCCCAGGGGTCATTTTGTTGTTTCCTCTCCCCATAGCGGTAGACAAAAATTTCTTTCCTCCTAGTTAGGCTTTTCCCTGTTAGACTGTTTGGACTGCCTAGAAGGATGGTTGTCAAGTGGGGTTCCTGGGCATGGCCTGCAGCTGCTTCAAATGCAGGTTCTGCCCCTCCCTCCCCGCCTGCCGAGTCAGCCACCTGGGAGGGGCCGCCTCATTCAAACAGCCCAGGACATTCTGGTGCCACTGCAGTTAGAGAACTGGTCCTGATGTATCTCCTCCTCCCTCATCATTCTGTGTTCTCGTAGTAAACAGATTCCCACACGCCAGCGTCTTTCTGGCTCTTGCCGGTGGTCACTGCAGTTGCTTTCCTCAGTTTTACTTACTAAGGTCTTCTTTAAGACGCCTTTCCTAATCGAAGTGTTCATTGACTATTAGTGCATGTGTGATGGGGAGTTACTCACTTAGGAAAAAAGGAGTAATGCCAGCTAATATATGTGAAAGTTATTTGAAAATTATCACCCTAGAAAAGTTAACTGGCGCTGTCAGTGTTTTTAATTTTTATGGGAAATATGGAACACAAACAACTCCACTATATATTTTTTTGAGGCAGAGTCTCACTCTGTTTTCTGGTAGAGTACAGGGTGAATGCAGTGGTGCCATCGCAGCTCACAGCAGCCTCACTCTCCTGGGCTCAAGGGATCCTCCTGCCTCAGCCTCCTGAGTGGCCGGGACTACAAGTGTGCACCACTGCACCCACCTAATTTTTCTGTTTTCAGTGGAGACGGGGTCTCACTCTTGCTCAGGCTGGTCTCAAACTCCTGACCTCAAGTGATCCTCCCGCCTAGAGAGCCAGCTCGTCCAGCCCAGTTTGACTTTTGGAAGATAAAACTGGCTTGTGTGATGTTGACTCACGCAGTGGAATGAATGATTCTCAGTTGCTCGGTTCTGCGAAATCCAAACCTTGTTTCTCTCCGGGGCCTTAGCTGCTGTGGTGAAGTGTTGCAGAGTTCAGTCGCCTCAGACGGCGGTGTGCTGCTGTGTGTCACAGTCTGGTGCCCCGGCCCGCAGAGCTCTTTGGGTCCCCCTCTCTGTGGAAAAATTGTCTTCCATGAAACCGGTCCCTGGTGCCAAAAAGGCTGGGGACCACTGCTCTAGTGAGTTGGGATCTCGCGGGTACTGAATTGTTTTTGTCTTTCAGTTCACTGTTTGTGCTTACATAAAAATGTTGAACATCTAATTCTACATTTTATATTTTCCATTTTAGTGTAGGAAAAATGACGATGGAGACACGACTGTCGTTGTTGAGAAGGACCATTTTATGGAGGATTTCTTCCACCAGGTGAGAGCGCTGAATGAAGCCCCATCACAGACTTTTCTTTACACGTAGCTCTGTTCATGTAATTGTGCATTTGTCATATTTGAAACAGTACTAAAATATTTTAAAAGTTGCTGTTTGAATCATGTAAATTCTCTGGAGCTAATTGGTTATACTGAGAAAAATGCAAATCACTGTCTACTAGCCCGGGAAGGGGTGGGGTGCGAACGGTAGGGTCGTGGGTGTGGAGTGCAGAGGAACCCTCTCGTCCCAGAACGTAAGGAGGGGCTTGTGCTCGTGGGTGGGGGGTGCTTGCCAGGCGGTTCTGCCCCTGTGACGTGTAGCCGGTGCTACTGGATGCACTTCCTCCCCTGCAGGCTGCCTCTGGGAGAGCCTGCCACACCCCTCGATAGATGTTCTAAAAGTTCTCACCACCAGACCAGTGTATTTTTTAATGATGGACACTTCATTCACAGGACTCTTTTTGGTTGCGATGAACCTATAGAATAGCTCAGTCCAGGCCAGGTGCTGTGGCTCACACCTGTAATCCTAGCACTCTGCAAGGCAGAGGCGGGCAGATTGCTCGAGGTCGTGAGTTCAAAACCAGCCTGAGCAAGAGTGAGACCTCGTCTCTACTATAAATAGAAAGAAATTAATTGGCCAACTAATACATATAGAAGAAATCAGCTGGGCATGGTGGCACATGCCTGTAGTCCCAGCTACTCGGGAGGCTGAGGCAGGAGGTTGCTGTTAGCGAGGCTGATGCCATGGCACTCACTCTAGCCTGGACTCTGGCTCAAAAAATAAAAAAAAAAAAGAATAGCTCAGTCCAAAGTCTACACTGGTCTATCTGTGCATGGATTTGGAAATATATAATATGTTAATCAGAATATACTAAAAGTTACCAGTTTTTCAGATTCAACCAGAAATTCTGGAATGCCTAATGTAAGCCTAATCATTGGTTTTCAAGTATTTGTTAGTTCCTGATGAGATTAAATTGTTAGATGCAATAACTTATTTTAAGGCATAAAGGAGTTAAGATACTGGATTTCCTGGTTTAACTTGGAAATGAAACTCTTTTTATATTTTTTTATCTTTAGCTTCCCTAACCACTTTGTCAGATTATTATTGTGCAGATTTTACCCATACCTGGTTGCTTAACTCTTTCATGTGAGTTCCTTGTAAAAAGTTATTTCTTATTTTAAAGAATCTCCTAGAATTAAATGTTTTATTGATTGATTGATTGTGGAGATGGGGTCTCATTATGTTGCCCACGCTGGTGTTAAACTCCTGGGCTTAAGCCATCCTCCTGTCTCAGCCACCCAAAGTGCTGGCATCACAGGCCTGAAGCCACCATGCCCAACCACGTTGCTGTATTTAATAGAAAAATTCCATGTAGTGATTCATTGAATGCTGCTGTAGTCTCTGCCTGTCTGGTGTTAACTCATCTTTGCTGTTGGTGTCTCAGGGATGTGTACAAAACAGGTTCCTCATTGACCTCATTTGGATTCTAACTTAAGCTCAAGCCTTCATTTCTTAAATAGTCAATTTATTTTGCAGTTAACTTCTGTGAAATGACTTCTTAGACAAATAAAGAAGCAAATGATGTTTGTTAATATAAACTCAGTTTTAGAAAATGGCCCTCAGATCTTTACTGTCATAGAATGTTGCAAAATGAATGGATTTTGTACGTGACCAGTGCTTGGTTAAAGGCTAAAATCATGCTCTGAAGGGCAGCCAGGGAGTCTCCTTTTTGTAAAGATGATTTATAATGGACAGAAAGACCCCCTGTGTCTTGTAACTCACGGGAGTAAATGGTGGCTGTCACCATTGTTGTGCTTCTGTCTTGGTGCTGAGTGAGCCCAGCAAGTTCCTGTCTTCCAGAACCTCACTGGGGCTTCTGCTAGAGTTATCAGTGGTACGTGTTGCAGAACTCTCCAAGAGTTAAAATGATGTTCTTTCTACTTTCTGATGTTCAGTGTACCACAGAACTACTTTAGAAATGATACTTTAATGATGGCACAATGAAATGCACATCTCTGTCCTAAAACCAAATACCATTACTTGTGCTTAAAGCTTCATAATGAAATAGCAGCAAGTTTAAAAGAATCGGTTTTATTGTATGTAGTGTTTTTACATGATTGATAAAATTGAAAGTATGTGGGTTATATAAAGTTCTTTTTTGAGGGGGGGAGGATACAGTCTCACTCTTTGCTTGGGGTAGAGTGCCATGTCGTCAGCCTAGCTCACAGCAACCTCAAACTCCTGGGCTCAGCCAATCCTTCTGCCTCAGCCTCCCGAGTAGCTGGGACTACAGGCATGTGCCACCATGCCCGGCTAATTTTTCTATATATTTTTAGTTGGCCAATTATTTCATTCTATTTATAGTAGAGATGGGGTCTCACTCTTGCTTAGGCTGGTTTCGAACTCCTGACCTTGAGCGATCCTCCTGCCTCGGCCTCCCAGAGTGCTAGGATTACAGGCGTGAGCCACCGCGCCCAGCCTATTTAAATTTTACAGACATTGTATAAAGGGAAATAACACCCAGGCCTGATGGAATCGTTCTTAACTGTTCTTTTAAGAGCAGAATTCTGTGTTAGACCATCCTTTAATGCTTTGATTTTCCAAATGTGGTCTGAGGCTTGGACCAGGGGTCCCTAGGGGTCTCTGAGACCCTTTCGAGTGGACCACCTCAAAACTATTTTTATAATGATTGTAAGCTATCGTTCACCTTTTCACCTTTCTCAAGAACACACAGCGGTGGAGTGCCTCAGGACAACACAGTAAACACATGAGGATACATGAGAATCACAATGCCTTCAATTAAGCTAGAAATTAGATTTACAAAAAATATAAATCACTGCTCCTATTTGGATTAATTTTTGGGGAAAATTTTTTTGTCATAAAGATGTGTTATTCATGTTAACACATGTTTTAGTTTCCTATTGCTGATACAACAAATTATCACAGACTTTGTGGCTTGAAACAACACGTATTCATTATCTCATAGTTCCAGGGGTCAGAAGTCTGAAACGAGTCCGACAAACACCACAGTGGTGACGGGCTGTGCTCCGGCTAGCAGGGTGAGGGGACGGGGGTCTCCCTCGTCTCTCACAGCTTCTAGAGGCCACCCGTGTTCTTGGCTCGCCCCTTCCTCTGTCTTCAAAGCACAGCACCTGCCAGGCTGTTTTCCTTGTCACCTCTCCGCTTTCTGACATTGACCCTCTTGGCTGTGTGTTAGAAGGGCGCTGCGGTACCCCGAGCACCCCCAGATAACCAGGACCATCCCCATCGCAGGGCTCTGAGCTTCATCCTGTCTGCAGCGCCCCTTTGCCACGCTAGGCGACACATCCTCAGACCCCAGGTTAGGGTGTGGACGCATGCCACGACGTGCAGGGTCTGATTGCTGCAGGAGGGAGCAGTGCAGCGTGGCGTCTTGCTCCCGTGGCCGCCTTGTTGCTCTGTAGCGCGACCCGCCCTGCCCTGTCTCCTGCGATGCCCGTGCTTGGGTGGAGGGTCCCCCTGGGTAGCCGGCCTAGGCTCCCCATCTCAAGAAGTTTAGTTACAGCTGCAGAATTTCTTCTGCCACGTAGGGTACCGTTCACGGGTTCCAGGGGGCAGGACCTGACCATCTGTGGGGCCATTACTGGGCCTGCCACGGAGGGCCTTGGCGAGGGTGTCATGACTCCACCTGGGTGCATCGCGCTAGCAAGCGCGTCGCATTTGGAAACACACGTTGAGTAGCCTGAGCCAGGTAGAACTCCAGGACAGTGCGTGTGCGGCGGGTGGACTGCAGACACCGGCTCACACAGGCGAGTTACTCCCAGCACCTCCGCAGGCCGGGTGCGTCAGCAGTAGGGCCCTTCCGGCTGGCGCCCTCGCTGGCGATGCGTGGACCGGCATAGGAATCTCCACTGCCTAACGGCCTTCCGTGAAGGTTGACTGATGCTGCCTTTGTCATCAAGGTAGAAACATTAAACGGCACATTTCTCTTTATTTTTTAAATTAAATGATATCAATTTGAGAATGGGAAAGGGTTTTATTTCTTTATGTGGCAATTATTCATTTATTTCCTTCCTTTTTTCTTCCCTTTTTAGGTAATGGAAAGTGGTAGCACATTTGCACTTCCACATCGTGATGACTCTTTCTGTCTGTCCTAGGTTGAGGAGATTAGAAACAGTATCAGCAAAATAGCTCAATATGTGGAGGAAGTAAAGAAAAACCACAGCATCATTCTTTCTGCACCAAACCCAGAAGGAAGTAAGTCGATGCCTTTTAACAAAGTTTTTCTGTCTGTGTGCCTTTCTCTTGCTGTCTGCTACACGGGAGCAGGGAGTTTGGCTCCGGGCATCCTGGGGCTGTGGTCCCAGGTAAGCTGCGCCCAGGTGGGGATTGGAGCCCCCAGCACGGTCTGGTGGGCGGCTGGGCGAGGACCGTTGCATACGGTATCCAAAAGAATACATACAGGGCACCGTCGTTACAGACCTGAGGTCTCAGTGCGTCCACAGCTAAGCAGGAAGGATGGGGTTTTATATGTAGAGGGCAGTTAGTGAGAGATTGATTGGAAATCAGTACTTGTTGGGGCAGGTTTGAAGATGACAGCGGACTGAGAGGCGTTTCCAAAAGTCTTCAGGAAGGGCTTTATGTGCCTTGTGCTGTTCTCGGTGTCTGCTCGCGGCGTGTCAGCAAATGATTTTAAGCTAACTCAGGGTGAGGGTTTGGTAGTTGTGAGGAGGGTTTCGTTGATCTGGAATGGTAAATACTGAAACTTCAGAGGGGACGTGAATCTGAACAAACCAGAGAATCCACACATCGTTTTTGGGGAGAATTGACATCTTCCCAATATTGAGTCTTTTTTTTTTTTTGAGACAGAGTCTCGCTTTGTTGCCCAGGTTAGAGTGAGTGCCATGGTGTCAGCCTAGCTCACAGCAACCTCAGACTCCTGGGCTCAAGCAATCCTGCTGCCTCAGCCTCTCAAGTAGCTGGGACTACAGGCATGCGCCACCATGCCCAGCTAATTTTTTCTATATCTATTAGTTGGCCAATTCATTTCTTTTTATTTATAGTAGAGATGGGGTCTTGCTCTTGCTCAGGCTGGTTTCGAACTCCTGACCTTGAGCAATCTGCTTGCCTTGGCCTCCCAGAGTGCTAGGATTACAGGCGTGAGCCACCGCACCCGGCCCCTATTGAGTCTCTTTTTTTTTTTTTTTTTTTTTTGAGACCGAGTCTGCTTCTTGCCTACAGTGTGATGCCGTGCGCGCCAGCCTAGCTCACAGCCACACTCATCAACTCATGCTCAAGCGTCCTTTCTGCCTCAGCCTCCCGAGTAGCTGGGGATACAGGCATGCGCCACCATGCCCGGCTAATTTTACTTCTTGTCATAAAACATCAAAATACAACCTATTAATCACTGTAATATATCAGTAGCCACTTCCCTCTCTCTTTCCTATTCTTATCACAAGTACACGACGGTGAGTGTCATGATCTTGTTGCAGGACTAGGTTTTAACTCAACTCCCTGCACCTGTTCGTGCCCTCCCGCACCGCCTCGGCCCTCCCAACCTGAGCTAGGACATGGCGTGAGCCACCGTGCGCTCCCTCCGCGTCCCCTCCTGCGTCCTCTTCTCCATGCGCACACAAACGCCATGTACTCCCGTCTAGGTTCCTGTTGCGCTGTTCAGTGTGAGGGTCTCACATGTCTTTTGTTACATTATTCCTAGGTAGTTGGTGTTTTGATAATAATGTAAATCCTATCTGCTTTGAATTTCATTTTCTATTTGCTTGTTGCTAGTATGTAGAAGTACGGTGATTTTTGTATGTTGACCTTGTATCCCTTGCCTTGTATGACCTTGTTCCTTGCCAAGTTAGTTATTAATTCTGATATTCTTGGTAGGTTCTGTTGGATTGCTGTGCTCCCAGTCATGTCACCTGTGAATGATGACAGTTTTTCCATTCAGCTCTTAAGCTTTTTGTCTTTGTCTTATTTCACTGATCTCCGATACAGCATCGCAATGGCGAGGGGAGCACCCTCATTCTCACTCTCGGAGGGACATTGGAAGTGGATGTTTTTTGTTCGAGGATTACTTAGTATAGCCGCACATTGACAAAATAAGAACTTAGTGTGACATTTTAACATTTTGCATGTCTTATAATATTTGAGCCTCTGTCTCTGTTTATCTGTGATTTAGAAGAGTATTTCCCAAATATGTTCCTGTGGCCAAAGTCTCATCAGTCTGTGGCCAGACACGTGGTGGCTTCTTCGTGGCACGCCCCCTGGACTGGTGCAGCGTCCTTAAACAGGGCTTTGAGGAATCCTGCTTTAAGGAAACCTGTTTAACCTCATTTAGTGTTTCACAAATCTGTTTACCCACAGAACTTTTTATGTAACCTCTCTTATTAACATCTTGCTTAGTTCTTAGGGAAATTGAATTTGAATAAACATCAGTGTATTCTTTTTCTCTTGAGTAATTTACCTCCAAAACATTTTTGCTGCCAAGTAATAGCAGATACAACTATTGTTTGAATAAATTTAGAGCTGTTAATGTTTCATAGTAGTTCCTTTTGGGCTTTAAAGTAAACCATTGTTTTTTGTCTTTTGTTTGTTTTACGACAGTGTGAAACAAAATGCAGGAAGCAGTGTGCCACTGCTTTACTTAGTTGGTGTTTAAACAGCGAAATACAGTTACTCCTCTCTCCAGGAATGGGCTCGTGGTAATGCAGGTGGTGGCTGTCCCCTCCCTGCCCTTGTGCCTAGAGAAAGGGGTGGCCCAGATTCCTGTGGAGAAGGGGAGAAAGAGGGAGTAGGAGCCATACCTCCTCCGTGTTCTGCCCCGCCTCCAGACGTGCGGCCGGAAGTGGGGGTCCCAGTGAACAGGGAGATTCCTGGTGCTGCTGCCTTCCGGAAGCCCCAGCCAGCCTCCAACCAGACAGTGCTGGAGCGCGGCGGCCGCCAGGTGGCGCCAGGGGCAGCCTGGCCCTGGGTGGGTCCCAGAGCGCCGGGCTGCCAGCCCTCCTTGTGCCATTGATCTTCAGTGTCAAGATCTGGGCAGAGTTGCCGAGATCCTGACGAAGGGCCCTTTTACTTGTACTTTTCTTTTGTCACTTCTACTCTTGTAGTATTTCTTTGCTGTTTTCTTAAAAGAGGGTTTTTGAAAAATATAGAGATTTCAGGCCCTCCGAAACAGGGATCCAGCCTTGCAGGAGCATGAAATGTATGTGATTCCATTTTTTGGATCCTAGTGACGACATGGCCAGGATTTACTGTGAGTGGTAGAGATTTTATCCGTTCACGGTAGGTCTTGTAGCTCCTCCTGTCGGGAGCCAGAGCCCTTGCTCTCATCCACGCTTGGGTGTGTCCATCCTGCCGTCACTCCTGCCGCTCACATTTTCCTGTTCCTGTGTCCTCATCCTGGACGGCCTCTCTCTGCCCAAGCGAGGACGCTGCACCGCGTGGCTTCCTGTTTCCAGCTCCTTCCTGCTGCTGTGCATGTGGAGCTTTTCTGAGCGTGATGCCCTGGTACTAGTTCCACACTCCGCTGTGTGTGCAGCGAGGCACTCGGTGGCTGCTGGTCACCTTGTGTGTGTGGAAAGCCCTCGTCTTGCTTTGGTTCTGGATTCAAACCCCGGCTCCACCATTCGTTCCCCACGTGGCCTTGGACACGTTACTTAAGATTTCCTGTGTCAGTTCCCACGTGTGTAAATGAGTCGGTGGTGGTGCTGTCTGCCTGTTAGTGTTGTCAGAGTGCTAAGTGAGCGGTGCTACTGAGAGGGCTTAGGGCACCAGAGAGCCCTCCATAAATGGTGACGGCCCTTGTCATTATGTTTCACTGTCATCATCTTATTTCTGCTTGATTCTTCTGTTTTGAGATGAGAAGTGTGTGTCTCTTCTTAAAGGGTAAACTGTGAGATGAGTCCCTGAGCCTGTCTCTACGTGGTTTTCTGCTGGTTGCTGTTCTTGTCTTGGCTCTTGGCCTGAAAGCACACACATCCCCCACCCTTGAAGCCACGTCCCTGCCTCGCCACCGCCACGCCCTGGTGGCCGCTGCTGCGGGGGCCGTGGTCTCCAGGCTTCCTCCCCGCTCTCTCCGGCATCTGACTCCTCCTCCCCTGACGCTGTCCTCTTCATCTTTTAAAGGCCACCTTTGTATGTTATTACTGTTCATACATGTTTATTGTGGACATTTTGGAAAAAACCAGAAAGGAGGGAAAACCCACCCATAATTTGTTCCTCGGTGATTAGCACCATCAACATTTTGGTGAATATTCTACTAGTTAAAAAGCAGTGTGTGTGTAAAAGCACGTAACTTTCAGACGTGTGGAGTTTGGATTGTGCGGCGCCTGTCTCACAGTGCCCTGCTTTAAGGTGGGTCACGGGGCCCTTTCTTATTGGCTGCACACCGCTTCCCTGTTGCCTCGTCCTCGGGTTGCCTAGGGGCGTGGCGTTGTGGGACCAGAGCGCCGGCCCGGCCTTTCGCCGTTGACACGTACCCTCCCCGTGTGTGTGGTGGCTGTCGCGGCTCTCACGTTACCATGGTGCAGTGATCGTATCACAGTGTCACTGCCTTGTACTTGCGATGCGTGCACAGCACCAGGTGCTACGGTAACTGCCGACGTGAGGCACTGACGTAACCTCCTTACGTCTGTTTTAGAGCCTAAAATACTAACACTCAGAAGGTTAAGCAGATGGTGCAGAGTCGAGACAGCCCTGACTCTGAGCTGGCTCTACACAGTCATGGTTCCGGAGCCGGTGAAGGCCCACTGCTCTTCTGCACCAACGTCTGCGCAGCGCTTGCCCTGGCGCCGGGCCTCCGCACTTCCGGATCTTCACGGTTCTGAGCTGCTCCGCACATGCCATCCGTGGGAACTCACGCTGAGCGTGCATGTCGGCCTGTCCCTGTGGCCAGGATTTGTGGAGTGTGCACCCCAGACCAGCTAACGTGTGCCGTTAACATTCTTTTCAGACCCATAGAAAGCTGTACTTATGCTTCAGTGAAAAACCCTGTTTCCTTCGAGATTCAGCAAGCGTTAACATTTTGCCACAGTTGGTTTCCCTGTGTGCATGTGGGTGCGGACCTGTGTTCATGCACATATGCACATTATTGTACGTGCTGAGTCATTAAGAGCAAGTTCTGGACTTAATGACCATACACTCCTAACTCCTCTCCTCTAGTCACACTATTTCCTTCCAAGGGTGTTCTCTGTGTCCCACAGTGTAACTGTCTAACTCGGGACGTTTACCAGGGTAAACCACCATCCCCTGATCCACAGTCTGTGTTCTCTGTGTCCCACAGTGTAACTGTCTACTCGGGATGTTTACCGGGGTAAACCACCATCCCCTGATCCACAGTCTGTTCTCTGTGTCCCACAGTGTAACTGTCTAACTCGGGATGTTTACCAGGGTAAACCACCATCCCCTGATCCACAGTCTGTGTTGTCTGTGTCCCCACAGTGTAACTGTCTAACTCGGGACGTTTACCGGGGTAAACCACCATCCCCTGATCCACAGTCTGTGTTCTCATTTCAAGAACTGACCGAGTAATACCCTTTGCCTCTGTGTTTTCCATCTCCAGCCTCCGTGCAGGTGCAGCCTGGACAGATGACTGGCGCCCACTGTCTTTGTGGGGTCGAGCCCCTTGTCCTCACTGTGTCTCGCTCTGCCCTGGTCACGCCTTGTGCCTTCACGCAGCGTTGCCTGGTTTCCATACAGCCCTGCCGGTTGTCTTTTGGGTAGTGGGTCCATAGTCGATGCTTTACTCTCAATTTTCTTTTCATCTTTCTGTATCCTTATATTTTAGATGTTCCTCTTCTCTCTTGTGAGGAAATCATAGTTGGATTTTGTCTTTTTATCCAATTTGATAATTTTTTGTCTTTAGTACTTCCAGTCTATTTATTTACTGGGATTATTGATATAATTAGATTGAAATTCCTACTCTTTTTTCCTCTTTATTTTTCTTACCTCTTCTATGTCTATTTTTTCTCTCTTTTCATACTTTCTTTTGGATTGATGTTTAGGAATTTTGCCCCCTCCCTTGTTAGCTGGCTTATATATACTTTTTATTGTGGTTTATTGGGTGTCTTATAAATTATAGTATGCATTCTTGACTTGTGAAAATCTAATCTAAATTTGTGTTTTTACTGCTTCTGAGATAATTCAAGGACGTGAGATAACTTCAGCCCTGTCCCCCTGATTTACATGTTGTTGGTGTGTATATGAGTATGTTTGTATGTTTCCATCCCAAGGTGTTATTTTATGTTGTTTTACACAGTTAATATGCACATGGTCTAACCAGATGTTTATTCATGTCATTATTACTCATTTTTTCATTTGTGTCTCAAAACTCCTGTCTGAGATTTTTTTTTCTTTGTAAAGAACTCCATTATTTCCTTCAGTGAGGCCATGCTGTTGTCTGAAATTATCCTTGTTCTAATCCTATTCTTGAAGGATATTTTCACTGAGTACAGGATTCTAGTTTGGAAGTTGTTTTCTTTCACCACTATAGAGATTTAAAGATATTTTTCCAGTGTCTTTTGTCTTTTTTTTTATTTTTTTTTTAAGTCAGCTAATTAGAGCTTTTAAGGTAGTTGGTTTTTAGTCTTTGGTTTAGCAATTTTACTTTGATGTTTTGAGATGTGGTTCTTTTTACTTACCCTTCTTATAAGGCTTCTTGCATCTTTGGATTCATGTTTTCTGGCAGTTTTGGAAAAACCTTGGTCGTTACCTCATGTTTCATCCTTGTTCCATTTTCTCCCCTTGGGACTTGAGTTATATGTATTTTAGATGTTTTCACTGTATCCTTTCTGTCTCATACTGTCTGTTCTGTATTTTCCATCATTTTGTCTTTCCATGTTTTGTTTTTTAACTTTCTGACTTGTCTTCTGACCTCTTTTCAGCTTATTATCTTTCAGGTCAGGGAATCTTTCTTCACCCATAGAGTTACTTTTGGGTTGGTTTTCACTCTTAGAATTTTGTTTGGTTCTTTTTTATACTGTCCTAGTCTCTGACAAAATTCATACTCTTGTATATTTTACCCCTTTTAAAATAATTACCCCTTTAAATAATTTAAAAGGGGTAAAATATTTTACCCCTTTTAAAATAAAATAACATCTGTGTCTGATCTTTTAAAATAAAATAACATCTGTGTCTGATAGCTCCATGAACTCACTGGTGCCCTGTGGATCTGTTTGTGGCATCTGTTGTTTTTGTTGGGTTTCATCCGTATTTTTTCTTTGTTTGCCTGGTTATTTTTTATCTCATTTTGAGCTTTGTATATGAATTATTGGTGGCAAAATTTGATTCCTAGATGGTATTTTCTTTTTGCAGAGGTGATTAGTTTTTATTTCTGGCAGATGGCCGGGAGCACCAGCAGTTCTGGGTCTAGTTGCAGGGACTGAGATGGTTCAGAGCTGGGCTCACCTGCAGGGCGCAGCCGGCGGCCACAGAGCTCCCAGCCCCCTGCGCTAGTGCAGCTGGCAGGTGCCCTGGTCCCAGCAGCCCCAGTGCTGGGCCGCCTCTCTGGCGTTCCTCCTCCCTACCGTCTTCCCTCACTGTGTAGGTTTCTGCTGGCTTTACGCAGATTTAAGAACACTGCGTCCATCCTTTCTGACTGTTCTCAGCGAGCATTGATCTGGGTTTCCTAGTCCACTACAAGAGAAGGTTCCTAGTCTCCTTTTCTTTTCTCGGTTATGTGTAGGGACAACGTGGTAACCTCTCTTATTTCTCCAACTGCCTGTGCCTGCTATGCCTGTCTAGCAGGACATCAGCACCTCCCTCCCGAGCACCCCCACCCCAAAGGGCGTCTTCACCCTGGGAGTGAGTCCTGCTGTCACGTGCAGGCTCGCTGCTTCTGCTGCTGCCTGTGGTCATGACCACCCGACAGCCTGGGTGTCCTCGGCAGTGGCCAGACGCTGCGCAGTGGCTGGGTCTGAGGGTGTCAGGATCAGCCCCTGCAGGCAGCAGCCCTCCTGCCGCTGACCCGGGGCCTGGGCTGGAGGCTGAGCCCCAGACCCGCCTCCCTCTTTATTCACAGCGAGTTTCTCTGAGTCCCATTAAATGCCCCCTTTTATATTAATAACAGTTGTTTGGTGTTGACTTTACCATTCTAAAGTGAAATTCACAGGTAATATCTGTCTATCTCCGTACTTTTAAAAAACATGTATCTAAACTGTAATGCAAAGGAGACCTAAAATGAGAGTAATTTACATATTGAGATACAAATCGTACTGTACAGGCTCAGGCATGACTACATTAGACAAAATTCGGGTGCTTGCTCCTATTCAAAAACGGTCGCAACTGTAGAACTAAAAATGCAGAGTGACGGAGGCGTGTCGTGTTGGCGATTCAGATGCTGTTAGCAGTCTTCTCGTGTGACTTCTAAAGGCACTGGACTGCCCTGGACGTGCTCCAGGAGCCAGTGTGACCCTGGGTGGCCGCGTGCTGCTCTGAGGGCAGGAGCTGAGCTGGGGAACACTCGGCACGTGCAGGTGCACAGCAGGTCCTGGGTGTCGCCGTGTGCCTTGGGGAGGGTTGCCCGGAAGAGCATCGGCATCTCTGGGAGCTTTTGTTCCTTTTTCTCGGTCAGGTGGTCTGCGGTGGGAACTTGTGCCTTCTCCCTGGCTGATGTGTGTGTGATTGGGTGAGAGTTACCTGCAGGACTCTCTCAAATGATAAAAGGGCTCCCGAGACAGGTGGGGCCTTCTGCCTCCCCAGCAGCTTCTGTGCAGGAGAGAGAAATCTCAGGTCACTTTAGCCACTGGACTAGCAAACATGAGTTTCCAGTGTGGGGCAGACGTCCCCTGCCTGCTGTGACATCCCAGGCAGCCAGCACAAAAGCACATGCGCCTGTCCCCAGCTCCATCCTGGAGTGCTGGCGCTGCTCTGGCCCGCTGGCCTTCGCCCATAAGTCCACCCATGTCCACCGCTGCCAGTGTGGGCGGGGAGTGGGGGAGGCTCCCTGCTGAGAGCCCTGGCTGTCCCGGAAGCTCCAGGGTGCCAGCTCCAGGGTGGGCAGAGTGGTGGCTGCTGCGTGACAGCAGAGAGAACACCAGACACTTGGAGACTTTTTTTTTTCCCTTCAGAATGTGGTTAAATCTCTGCTTTCCTTTTTCAGGCCTGAGTGTTAGCAATGGATTTAATCAGCTAATCCATCCATTACTTGGTTATAGACCAGCAAATCTCAAACTTAGGTGTCATCAGGAGGGCTCCGTAGCTCAGATCGCAAAGTCTCTGACTGAGCAGGTACAGGGCAGGGCCCAAGAATGTGCGTTTCTGCCGAGCTCTCGCCCGAGAGAGGGGCTGTCGGCCGGGCACCGCTCTTGGAGAACCGCTGGTACACGCGGCAGCCTTTCTTCCATGGTGGGGGAGAGTGACTTGAGTGGTTACTAAGAACATTGTTTCGTTTAAATTTATTGGGCATTGTTTCTGTTGGGTGTTATAAGCTCAAATGCCTTTGTTTTAAATTTTTAAAGAAATAAAAGAAGAGCTTGAAGATCTGAACAAAGAAATCAAGAAAACGGCTAATAAAATTCGAGCCAAGTTAAAAGGTAAGTGTAAAGTTTTACGTTTAATTATCAATGGTGGAAGTATGGGTAATTGTTTTCTTCCATATAGGGTTTTTTTTTTTTTGAGACAGAGTCTCGCTTTGTTGCCCAGGCTAGAGTGAGTGCCGTGGCGTCAGCCTCGCTCACAGCAACCTCAGACTCCTGGGCTCAAGGGATCCTCCTGCCTCAGCCTCCCAAGTAGCTGGGACTACAGGCATGCGCCACCATGCCCGGCTAGTTTTTTCTATATATATTAGTTGGCCAATTAATTTCTTTCTATTTATAGTAGAGACGGGGTCTTGCTCTTGCTCAGGCTGGTCTCGAACTCCTGACCTCGAGCAATCCACCCTCCTCGGCCTCCCAGAGTGCTAGGATTACAGGCGTGAGCCACCGCGCCCGGCCCCATATAGGGTTTTTATTCTTCTACATTTTCAAAAATTAAAATTGTGACCACTTTAAAATAAATTATTTCTTTGTATTTCAGAGTTCTGATTCATATTCAGTAAGATTATGTATTTGCTTATAAATTGTTATACTATTATTTTTTTATGACATTTTGGGCTAAATTTCAGGTGTTTGAGAAGATAAAATAGCCTTTAAAATGAATTGCCAATTTCTTTTTTTTTGAGAGTCTGGCTCTGTTTCCCAGGCTAGAGTGCAGTGGTGTCATTGTAGCTCACTGCAGCCTCCAACTCCTGGGCTTGAGCGATCCTCCTGCCTCAGCCTCCCAGAGTGCTAGCACCTGGCCTCATTCTTGCAGCCTCATTCTTGTGGTGGGGAATTTGATGTTCTCTTCATCTGCTGTGCTCTTCCCTTAGATTTTTGCCTGCCTGCCACCCCCACTGCCCGCCCCAGTGATCGTAACAATTTTTTTTTTGAACAGTTTTCTTGAATTGGATCCTAAAATAAGGAACAAACCCTTGATCGGTTGATATGTCTCATAAGACTCTTTAAAATCCTATTTTAAAAACAAATCAGTTCTCCCTTCATCTTTTTTCTTTTGGTTGGAGAAACTGGGTCATTTGTTCTACAGAACTTGCCAGGCTTCAGGTTGGCTGATTGCACCCTGTAGTGTTTCTAGTAGGTTCCACTGTCCTCTGTATTTGTGGTGGGTTGGTAGTTAGGGTCTCCAGACTTGCCCTGATTCCGGTGGTTTTTGTGGGTTTTTAATGTAAAGATATAGCATCTGATTACAGGGGTTATATCTTAATGGTCATATTAAGGTGTTAATGGTTGCATTAAGATACGACAGCAAGGGGGCGCAGTGGCACACACCTGTAGTCCCAGCTACCTTGAGAGAGTTGGAGACCAGCCTGGGCAACATATTGAGACCTCGTCTCTTTTTTTTTGGGTGGATTCCTCTCTTTTGGCACGATCTTCACGGGTTGGTTCCCGGGCATCCCCTCAGATGCCATTTTGAGCACACGGATTTACGTGTATCTGACGTGTCATTGCCGCGGTTACTGTCCATGCTCTGATGGTCCCTCGTGGCCAGCAGGAACTGATTCCTGAGTCTTCTCCATGACCCTGTAGTCTTTGTAGCCTCCCTGCTATTTGTCACAACAAGATGATCCATGCGCATTTTGTACACTTCCTGCCCCAGACGAAATCTGGGGCCAGCCCCTTCTCCAAGGAGCACCACGCCTGTGGTGCGGAGTGGGGTTTGGAGCTGAGCTGGGTGTGCTGAGGGTGTGTGTTGCAGTGTAGGTGGCGGTGTTTGCGTGCATTTTTCTACTAGCCTTTC